GAGTCTGAGAGTTGTAGAGGATATTATTGGGTTATCGGAAAAGTCATGATGTATTTTTTCTATGTTTTTCTTTGCAAAAATGCATCATGACTTTTCCAACAACTCAATATTTTTATATATAAGGCATTGATAAGATGGAATGGGATCTTTAGCTACAAATGGGTGTCCATTAAGCCATTTGCACCTTAAATGAGACTTAGCTTATCAGGACTTTCTCTTATATTTCTTGTCCATGATTTGGTAGAGTGACCCAAGAAATATGCCAAAGAGAGACTGAATGATACTTCTGTTAGATGATGTATCTCTTTTTGAACAAACATTTCCCAGCTCTGTTAGAGTATCTAAGAGTCATCTGTTCTTTTTGATATTTTGATAACATAATATCATTATCATCATCATCGTCGCCACCATCACCATCACCATCATCACTAATGTGCATTGAGTGCTTATGTTCCAGACACTCTCTAAAAGCTTTGTACCCATTATCTCATTTTATCTGCATGACAACCCTATGAGGTAGGCTCTATTTATTGCCCTAATTTTACAGACAGGGAAATGGAGCCAGGATTCAAACACACGATATTTGACTCCACAACCTATACTCTTTAATAAACTTATGAGGTTAGTTGTTACCATAGATTTAGCAGTGCTCAAACCAACCATCTGAAATCAAGCAGTGATGAATGTAAAATAACATATTTGGGTTCCCCCCAAATCAATTCATTCGTCTATGAAGAGGTATGCCCAGATTGGAAATAGTCCCTCTTAAAAGCTGCTGAGGGGCCGGCCGAGTGGCGCGATGGTTAAGAACTCGCTTGGGACGCCAGAGGGCCCCGGTTCGGATCCCACATAGGAGGGCCAGTGACACTGCCCTCCACAGCTAAGATGCTGAACAACAGCTCAACCTGGAGCTGGGCTGCCATGAGTCGCCGGCGACGGCGTAGGCTGCACTCCCTGTGGCAGTGGGTTGCCATGGGCTACTGTATGTAGCCAGCAGCCAGCGTGAGCGGCCAGCAGCCGCAGTGAGCGGCCGTCCAGAAGCCGGCGACTGATCTGCCTCGCCAGAGAAGAGCGCAATGATGATGCCAACTTGGGCCAGTGGGGCAACATCCTCCACAACTAGATTGAAGAACAAAATGACAGCAACTTGTCTGTTCCCCTTCCCCCAATTCCCCAGCACTGTTCCCATCCCCCCCCCTCAATAAAAATCTTAAAAAAAAAAAAAAGCTGCTGAGGATTTCAGTAGATCCTGAGCTTAACCTGAGCCAGCAGTGTGACACAGATATTAAAACAACAGCCTCATGCTACTTTAATAGAAGTCCAGGTTGTAATGTTCTTAAGTAAACAGGCCTGTCATGCTCTGTTGTTCAAAACCCATCAGGAATAGTTTTTCCTTTGGACAATGCGTTTTAATAGTAAGCATGTACAAACAAGAGTGCGTCAAGAGAAGCATGACAAGGAATTTCCAAGCCACTCTTAGTGTGTACGTACTCTGGGCCAGCTACTCTGCTAAGCAGATCACATGCTTTGTGTACTTTATTTCTCACAAGGGCTCTGGTAGGTATGTGCTGTCTTCCACAGAAGAGAAAAGGAGGCTTGGGATGCTCTAGAGTCTTGCCCTGGATCACACGACTGAGAAATGGAGACATGTTTTATGTAGTCCACATAGTTGTTGCTATTGTTGGTTGTTTTCTTTTTAAGGAGAATTTCATATGATGATCCTGATTGTCCACTTTTCTTTAAAAAATTACAAGCAACACTAGGCTTGGATGTTTAGCTTCTGTCGCTGCAGCGCCTTTCTCCCAATTAAAAGACACAGGCGTGCCAGTTCATTACAGTGCTTTTTGGAGTCCCCCACCTATGTACTTGATCCCTCTAAGTTATCCAGCTGGCTCCAGGGGAGAAAGAAGGAACAGCTCTGTTCTGTCCTATTCTGGAAAGCTATAAGTAGAAGGGAGGCTGATTCTCTTAGCAAAGCCTCTTCCATCAAGCAGAGCTAGTTGCACATTTCAACAAAGAACCTCATGAGGCAGCAAGGCTCTCACCTGCAAAAGCAGTCAAATGAAGTTTGAACCTGTCAGTGTCTGTATGAGGTTAAGGGACTGACGTGGATGGATGACCTCTATGACTCCACCGTACTGGCCCTCGCTTAATAGGCCCTTAATGTTGTTTTTAGGTTTCAAGTCCAAGCTAGAACATTTTCTTGCAGGGCTATTTTCTTTTAGGGAAATAATACCTATTAAATGGAAAAGAAAATTGGTGCTGTGTTTGCATGTTCCCTACCAAACAGGGAATGATAATGATAATGATAATGATAATAATAAAATATAAGCTAGAAAGACCAGATGACGGTAACTAGGTTTAAAGAGAATGCTTACTAGGTAGGTTCATCAAATAAGAAAGACTAATTGTGAGGACAATTGATGGATTTCCTTGTTTATAAAGCTTCAGTGAATAAATGGTATAATGGAGGTTTGAAAATAGTGACATGTAATATCTTTTAATTTATGTAACTAAGTTTAAAAGTTAAAGTTATCTGTAGTTATAGTTACATGTGTGGACATATATGACAGTGTGGACAATATGTCTATGATCAAAATAATATTTTAATTTTTATTGTCCTTTTCAAAGCTCCATCACACACTGGATTCAATCTGCGTAACTATTTTGTGTGATATTTGCTCAGTTAACATGCATGACATTATAGTGTTCTGTCTTGTGATAGTGATTTGTGTTCACACGATGTCCCCCTAACAAGGATGACAGTTTTGGGGTTTTTTTTTAAAGATTTTTTATTGGGGAATTGGGGGATGGGAACAGCGCTGGGGAATTGGGGGAAGGGGAACAGACAAGTTGCTGTCGTTTTGTTCTTCAGTCTAGTTGTGGAGGACGTTGCTTCACTGGCCCAAGTTGGCACCATCATTGCGCTCTTCCCGGGCGAGGCAGATCAGTCACCGGCCTCTGGACGGCCGCTCACTGCGGCTGCTGGCCGCTCACACTGGCTGCTGGCTACACACGGCAGCCCATGGCAACCCACTACCACAGGGGCTTCAGCCTACACCGTCGCCGGCGACTCCTGGCAGCCCAGCTCCAGGTTGAGCTGTTGTTCAGCATCTTAGCTGTAGAGGGCAGTGTCACTGGCCCTCATATGTGGGATCCGAACCGGGGTCCTCTGGCGTACCAAGCCAGTTCTTAACCATCGCGCCACTTGGCCGGCCCAGGATGACAGTTTTTTTTATACAGAAGAGGTTCCTGATTCATTTTTCTCCCCTGCAGCCCTTAGCTGAGTATTTTTAGCCTGCTATATTTTGTTGAATTGAATATGTAAGATGACCATTAAAACTTTAACTACTCACAAACATTCCCACTAACGTGTACAGAGCATCTAAATTGAGCTACGGTCCTTAAGTTGGAGTAGGAATGGAATATAATTAAGGAAAGCAGATGCATGTATAGGAAAAATGTAAGCACAGTGATCAGTGACAGGTCACATTTGGCCTCAGCATTGGGGAGGGCAAGTGTGATAATGGATCTATCTCAGCTTCATGTGGTCACTTGACACTCGGCACACTTTTCCGTATTATTCGGTGCACATTTCAAGATTACAGGTAGGGCCCTATAGGTGAATTAAGCTCTGCCATTAGATGCGCTTGTTTGGGACTTGGGAGGTGTGATTGGGGGCATCTTTCTCTTCCTGTTTCGCTTGGCAAATAAGGTTGCAGGTTGTGGAATGGCAGCTATAGCAGGGTACTCGCTTTCTGATCTTCAGATTGCTGATATAATGTTGCATTCTTGAAGAGCTAGGAATCGAGTTTAATGTGAAATAAATTGATTTTTTAAATATACCTTTGATTTTAGAATACTTTTAGATTTACAGAAAAGTTATAAAGATAGTACAGAGAGTTCCTATATATTCCCATACCCAATCTCCTCTATTATTAATACCTTACACTGGTATGGTACATTTGTTAAAATTATTGAAAATGTATTGGTACATTATTATTAACAAGCATCCCTACTTTATTCAGGCTTCCTCGGTTTTCACCTTCTATCCTAACTCTGACGAGGATCCCATTTAGGATACCACGTTACATTTAGTTATTATGTCTCCTCTTGGCTGTTTCTCAGACTTTCTTTGTTTTTGATGACCTTGACAGTTTTGAGGATACTGGTCAGGTGTTATGTAGAAAGCCTGCCAGTTGGGATTTCTCTGATGCTTTTCTCGTAATTAGACTGGGGTTATGGATTTCTGGGGAGGAAGACGACACAGGTAAAGCAGTATTCTCATCACACATCCCCATGATTTGTCACTGAGGATATTAACCTTGATCACCTGGTGTTTATCAGGTGTCTCCACTGCAAAGTTACTCTTTCTTTCCCCTTTCCATACTGTACTCTTTGGAAGGAAGTCATTCTGCTCACAGTTAAGGAGAGGGGGGTTATGCTTTTTCATCTTCTTGAGGGTGGAGAATCTACATCATTTATGGGAAATTCATCTGCTTGGGGGATTTTTCTTCCCCCCCCCCGTGCATTTATTACTTTATTCAATAATTTATTTAAACCATTATGTCTCATAGATATTTATTTTATATTTTGAGTTTTAATTCAATACACTACTATTAATTTTGTTACTCAAATTGTTCCCCATGGTCATCGAGAGCTCCTCCCATTGGCTCTGTGTCCTTTGTACAGCATTTTGGTTTCTTTTGTTTTGTTTTAGTGCTTTCTGATTTCCTGGCATCACAAGACACTCCAGTCTTATCATGCATATTCCCTGCCCCAGGCCTGGAATCAGCCATTGATCAATTGATCTTTAAATCTTGCCTCTAAAAGAAATTTACTTTGTGTGTGTGTGTGTGTGTGTGTGTGTGTGTGTGTGTGTGTGTGTGTGTGTTAGAAATAATGGGCAGAACAGACAGAACATGTCTGTAGGCTAGATCAAAGCTGGATCCACTCTGCTAGCAGAAACCCTTTCCAAACTCATGTGCATCCATCTTTACCTTGCTCACTCTCTCTTCACTTCTCAATCCAATCTGTTCTCATCCTCTTCGTGTACCTTAAAGTAGAGATGACTGTCCGTGGTTCTTTTCTTCAAACGCAGTCAGATATTAAGATAAATCAATCACCTAGAAGGCCTGGAGATACAGTAGAGTCAGGAGAAATATAGTGATCCTGTATCCCCTCTCCTCCTTGCAAACAGAAGGTACAGATAAAACAAGATTCAGCTTGCAACAAAACCAGAATATATTGAATTGTCAGAAAAGTCATGACGCATTTTTGCAACGGAAAACACAGAAAAAATACATCATGACTTTCCCGACAACCCAATGGTAAGTGCCACAAGCAGGCAACATACATCTGTGACAGTGAGACAGCAGCAGATAAGAACAAGCAATGGATGCTGTGGGGACCAGAGGGGGACTGATGACCTCTGTAAGGAATGAGAGAGTGCTGGCATCGTCTGAGCAGGCTGGCCACCCATCGGCCATATGTGATTGTTCCCTCCAGGAAGGAGGGCTCAGTGTGAGCATTTCTTCTGATTTTGAGCAGAAACTCAGACATTCAAAAAGAAACCCTAAAACATTTTGAGATTCAAACATCTTTGGACCACCAGTTTGAGATCTTGGCAGGAGAGGAGAGTGCTGGCGTGCTTGCAGTAGAATTTCAGGCATCAGGCAGTTTCTGGAGTGCTTTTCTAGATCCAAGTTCCCAGTGGGGGGTCCTGGGTCAGGCTGCAGTGCCAGGTGCCACTCACCTAATACTGACTCTGGCCACTTCTCCTAATACCTTGTCACTACCACCACTGGGTAAGCTGGAACCATAGGACTTAAACAACTTGGCAGCAGATGTTGTGCTGCCTCGCTCTGTTTCCTGCATTTTTTCTTTTTTTTTTAATTTGCTGAAAACATTCTCAAGCATCACAGCTTGGCTGAGGGGCAATGGGACTCAGGGTTGCTTTAAAACAACCGTCATTACTAACATAGACGGGCGCTTAGAGAATAGTTGACTTTGTACATTTAGTGAGCAGAGACTTGTGGCACAGAACCAAATTCTCCCATGCCCATCCAGTGCCTGGGAGCCAGCCCCTCAAGGCTTGCCTTCTGGGGCCCTCAGCCGTCGTCTGCCCTGAAGCTGAGTTAGGCCTGTAAAGTTTTCTCTCAGCACAAAGAAAGCCATGTTAAGAGACTCAGCCACTGGGTGATTGTGTATCCCTCTCATACCCAGGCTCCCAAAGCCTAATGAGCAGCCAGGCTGGGGGTGGGGGGAATCCCCTAGAAACTACCTGCCCTGCCGTTTCAGGATTAATAGAATCAAGTGATGCAGCAAAAATACCATGACAGAACCTTATGCTTCCAATCCTCTCGGTGTCATTTAGCTAAAGAAACCGTAAACAAAAAGGAAGAAGAAGAAAACAGCTGGTGGTATAATCCTGCTCTGCTCTTCAGAAGGAAGCCCAGGGAGAGGGATTCCGTATTGTCACATCTTAAAGGGCTCTTTTGGTGGAAACTTCTAGGGAAACTTCGATTTGTGTGTGTAATCATAACTCCAACTTTATTGTGAGATGTTAGAGCGAGGATTTAGCCACGGCCCCTCCTTCCCCAAGGTGGCCCTTGGTGACCTCCACAGAACTTTACTTCAAACAACTCCACTTCAGGGATTGCATAGCTCTTTATAAACCCAGCAGTTAGGAGCACATCCTATTCCCCCTGCTTCAAGGGAAGAGAAACCAAGGCACTGAATAAACACGGGCCGTCTGGTGTGGTTGGGGACTAAGAGCACACAAGCAGAACCTGACATATCAAAGTCATATCCACTGACAAACAATACACCTTGTTTCTGGACAGATTTCAAATTTTACCCTTGAGGGAGGAGCTTGAGTTGCAGCTTTGTTTGTTCAAAGACATAGAATCAGGCACATTAAGTGTGTCTTCAGTAATGCTGGGGTTTGCAGAACGTGACAGCAAGCTGGAGAAGCCGAGGTTGTCGATGGCTAAGACAGATGAACAGGTTACTCATTTTCGTTTTGAATGCTGTTCCTTTGTACCTTCGGGGGATTATATTCCCCCTCCAGAGAAAGCAAATTGGCCACGGTTTAGAACCCAGAAGCTGGCTGGAGCCTCATTGGAGGAGTCTGTCTCATAGTCACTTAGCTTCAGCTTTGTTTATAAAAGAATCATCTCAAGCTTGTGCTCAGGTGTTAAATGGACCTGGAACAGTGAATAGGACTGGAGCAATGGAGCAACGGGTGGGAGATTATTACAACATCAAGTATCCCTTTTAAGAAAGTCTCAAATTCTGAAAGTCCAGTTTCGGAATTTTGGAATTACAGATCCGTGATAAATATCATGGCTGAGTCATGATGTGGGACGTTAGTATCAACTTTTCCCAGTAAACGTTATCTAGGTCTTTCTTCATGTAAAAATAAAAAAAAAATCAGGGGTAATACTTATTCACCATAAAATCATTTAGACCACGTCCCAGAACTTTCATGGCTGAATACCAACAAATACTTTATTTAGGTTGATAAAAGTGAACATTTATTGAATGTTTACTATGTGCCAGGGACTGCATTGAATTAGCACTTTACATCAACAATGGAATTGAATTTTTACAATCCTATGAAAACAGTATCATTATACTATCCCTGTTTTATAGATAGATGAACTAAAGCATGAAGAAGATAAGCCATGTGCCTATGATGGTGCAGCACATGCATGGCACAGCTGGGACTCCAACCCAGGGTCTGGGCCAGAGGCTCAAACATTGACCACTTAGTTAGTCCTTATGGCCCACTGATTGGAGTCTGGACTCCTCTGTGTATTTCTATTAGTCTATGCCATACCCTTCCTCTGGGCTCCCACTTGACTTCTATGTAGAATTTTAGGTTTCCCATTTGGGTGGACTTAAAAGGTCAGGCAACTTGAATCTGAACATGCCCTCTTTCCCGTGATAACACCCAAGTGACCACACACCAGGACCACAAACTTCACTGTGCACTTGCTGTGCTTTCCACAGAGTTTTATTTCAATGTGGTCCAGCACCAGTTAACTGGGTTAATTAAGTTTAACACAAACCAGACAAGCCAAAGCCCAGAGTTAAGTTAATGAAGGGTCTAGTCTATCAATCTATGTGAATGGTGGGAAAGTACTTAGGGCCACTGTTCCCTTAAATGAGGAGTGAGAGTGGGTGCTAAAACGAAGGCCACGTCCCATAAAATCCCAAAGTGTAACTTTTTCCATTAGTATTCTCACTGATTGAGAGTGGTTGTTAGCCCGGCCTCACTTCTTTCCACTCCCCAACCCTCAGCAGTTTGTTTTCCCTTTAAAGATTTTTTTTTTTTTTTTTTGCAGCCTCCCTCTGTGAATGCACATGTTGTCTCCACATTGGCTTTCAGGAACAAATAGGAGAGGAATCCTTTCTTGGAACTTTCTTTGTTGCCTTTTCAAACTATGACTTTGGAATTCTAACACTCTAATCTTCTGTTTCTGGTATGGTAATTGGTATATTAATTACCTGTGGCCAGGTGCTCTGATTGAGAAGAATGCTAAGAAAGACACTCACCTGATACGTAAGAGTTCAAGCAAGCCCATCAATAGGGGAATGACGAAACAAGCTTTAGTATATTTATACTATAAATAGTTTAAAATGATAAAAAGTAATAGCATAGTTAAAAATGAAATACAAAGTAAATTCTAACGTGGAAGACCAAAAACACACAGTGTAAAACATATAAAAGTATTTTTCATTTCATTTATATAAAAAGCAATCGCCAAGCAATACTCTTATCTTTTTCCTGTTAGTACACCATGGATGCAAATAAGTATAACAAGGTCTGAAAGATGTACTACGAACCATACCAGGAAGGAGAGAGGATACCTGGAATGAGCAGTTTAAAGGGGGTCTGAGCCTTATCTATATTGCTTTAATGTGAAAAGAAAAATGTATTCGTAGATTTCTTATATAATTAAAAATCAATTTAAAAAATGAAAAATAATTTCAGCTTTAGGAAAAGTCATAGTAGCCCCCAAATAAGATACTGCTGCTTACTTCTTGGGTGCACAACCCTTACTGCCTTTCACTCACAATTAGCATTAGAATTAAAATGTGACTTTCCCAGGCCTAGGTCACAAGGAGAGCTCACCTCCCAGTGGAGCGTACAAGTAAGAGAGTTTCTAGGACATCAGGTTGCATTTGGGAGATGACAGGGTGGCAGGCTCAGAGCTGAAGGAGCCTCAGTTGTGCTTGGGGCGTGATGCTCTCGGCCAACGTTACAGTTTCATCTGGGGGGTGTCCTGGCTGAGAGTTCAGTCACTAAGGAGAGTTTTCCCAGTTTTAAATTTTTTATTTATTTTTTGTTGGAGTCCATACCCAGAGTCCTGTCCAAGCGGCTTACCTCTTTGGTAAATTTTTAGAGTCCAGACACTTCTTGGGCAGTCAAATCAAAATAAAAACATCAAGCCAAGAAATAATGCCACTGCAGCTGTGACAGTATGTCTCATTATTAATGACACAACAATGTGTGAATTCTGATGACCAAGAGCACAAGTCATCTTAATTGAAATACAATCCAGAAAATCAAAGCCTGTATGCAATTAGAATGGGTATTGCAGAATAGGTATTCTGCCAGGGGACCAGGCCTTCTGGGATTTGGCAATGACATGGCCAAGAGTTAGTGGCCCCACATACCCTGCACTTAAGTACATCTGGACTGACCCACTGTGATCATGCTGAGTTAGGGGAAATGAAGGGGCTGGGAAATTGGGCAAACATCTGGGCTGGGTGGTCTAAGGAAAAGCAGAGCTGGGTGTAAGGCAAGAACGTAAGCCGAGATGATGCAAGGATGAAGGGCGAGGGGCAGAGCCAGTGAAGGGAGCCCTGGAGGCTGCAGGGGTTCTGGAGTGAAAAGCCCTGGTGAAGGCGGTCAGGTGATACCCGCTTACCCTGTGTGTTCGGCTTAGACAGGTTGTTGAGATGTGGGCCTCGCCTGCATCCCTCAGCTTATTTTCAGTTTAACTTCAGCCCTCTCCTTCACCATGGCTGATCACCATGCCCCAAAGCTACTTACATAAACAAATACTCTGTGTGGCCATTTTGTGTAGGGGGCAAGACTAGCACCCTAACTCCGCCTCCAACC